AGAGAAAAGTGATTTGGAGTGGTGAATCACGTTTTACAACCTTCAGAAGTGATGGTCCAAGTCATGTTTGGCGTTCCACTGGTCAACGTTACAATATCGAAAATATTGTCCCTTCTGTTAAACATGATGATATAGGATAATGGTTTGGGATGCTTTTCTGGAAAGGGTTTATGGCCATTAGAAAAGTGGAGGGTAAAATAATCCGTTTAGATTGCGTACAGATTCTAGAAAAAACTTTGTTGTCTTTAATTGGAAGAAAATTTCGTGGTGAAAATTATGCATTTCATAAACTAAATCAAGAAAGGAAAAATACTGATTTACCCTCTCAATCCCCTGTTTTCGATCAAATAGAACATCTGTGGAATGAATCTGAGAGGAGATTAAAAAAATCAGCAAAAACATCCAAAAATGCTTCAGAGTTGGAGTGTGAATTTAAAGAAAAACTAGCGAGCATTCCTTTTGAAAGCACGCCTAGAAGGATCAAGGGATGTATAGAAAAAATGGAAGCCTTACTCGTTATTAATTTTAAATTTTCATTTTAATAATAATAAGTTTTTTAGTCGGGATTCTTTTTTTTTGTGAATATATGAATATGAATATATAAAGCCACAAACTAATGGCGGAAACGATGTTAACAACAGTTATAATAATAAATTAAATTATCTTAGCACAGTAACATCGTTGCAAATAGTGTTATCCTACCAAAATTTATTTATCATTTCCTGCTCGTGTCATTTTTTTTTTTTGTTTTGACATGTAAAAATACTATTTTCTTTTACCAATTAATTTTAGATGAAGAACCCGAGACAAGAAAACGCTGGACGTTCATTATTTTACTACAACTAGAATCATTACTTGTATGGTTCTGAATAAGATAATGTGTGTTATTTAATAATAACCAGAGATGTCATTTATATTTAATGATACCTTATATTGGTAACTCGCTTGTCTGAAGCTTCAACTTTTCCAAAGCTCTTTAACCGTAGAAAAAAATCCTATGGCGTCAAAAAGAGCATTTGCATACTCATAGTAGAAATACAGATTTTTGTATTATTATTCCAACGATGAGATCTTTCGAAGTGAACTTGAAGTAGTTATTGCCCCCCAAAAAAAAAATCCAATTCATCTTGTTGTATTTTTTTCGAGCAAAGAAAGAAAGTGAAAATTTTAAGATTTAATTAACTTTATACTCGGCAATATTTAAAGATAAAACAGATCCAGAGTATCTGTTTATTATAAATAAACCTATACAACAAGATGATAACAGAATAATCTCGAATTCAAAAAATCGAAAGTACAAAGCATAATGATAAAAACATGATAGAAACAAACCATTTCCCAAGAAAAGTAAAAGTTTGGTTGGTAAGTTGTACTAGTCAGAAATGATACAAATATCGAGGAAAAGGAAAATCGGGTTTATAAAGAAATTCGAATTCCAAGTGTTAAAAAGAATATTAACTGTTAAAATAGAACAAGACGGTTCAATCCATTAAAATGTGATTTATATGCATTTGACGTTATTGAAAATATGATCAATGATCTCGTATTGTTCCACAAAGATGAAGTTCTTTCTTCTCCACCTTCTTCTCATCAATCAAAATGACAATAACAAAAGAACCTGAATTTATTGTTGTTGTTACAACGCCAATATAAACACCATCCACATCGACAAGTGCGCATACTCCAATCACGTTTCGAACCATTAAAACATTTTGATAGACAATTGATTGCATTAATTCATGAACTAGAATCCAGAATACACATATCGTTATCTATTCACTGGAGGTCGCTACGCTAGTGTGACTAACAATGAAAGAGCATTTACGGAGACAAAGTCATCTGTTAAAAAAGACGTTAGCCAGCTTAGCTTGTCTATGGAGTATTAATTTGATATATTAGGAGTGATGGTTAAGATTTTAATACTTACAAATAGTTTTAAAAATTAGTCTTTAAAGACAATTGTGATAATAGTCAATGATTAGTTGTTGTGGTTATTAGGGTTAATAATTTTTTATGTTTATATAAAATATTTATGTGTTTTTATTGCAATAATGTTAATGGTTAAATATGTGATGAAATAAGTAAAATACAATATAAGCTCTAAAAGATAATTATATTAAAATATACTGTATCAAATAAAAAAAAGCAGAGTTGAAGTAATATGCATGTGTTGGAAGAAGAAAGAGTAGAAAAACTTGATGATTTATTAAATGAAGAATATCTGTTTCTAGAAAATAATGTGAAAATAAAAAAGAATAGAATAATAAGGATAGAAGGCATCATCATAACATATTGTTGATTTTCAAATTCAATAAAAACTTATTAATTGAAAATTTTTGAAACATAATCATCTACATAGATAGAAAATATGAGAATTAGAAAAAGTGAATAATGAAATAACCAGTCAATGATTTAATAATTTACCGTAGATAGGATGACGAAATTCTTTACAACCCTCAAGTTTTATATTTAATCTTTTGGCGTCAAAGAATATTGGATTATAAAATTTGATTGTACCTTTATAGTATTTTTCTTGAAATCTGATTTCTTTTAAATTTGTGAATATTTCGTTTTTTTTATAATTCAACAACAATTTTAAATTATCTGAATTAATTGAATTTTTGTCATATAAAGAAATAATCTTTAAATCAAGCTTATGACAATTATCAAAGAAACATTTTAATTTATGAACTGACAAGTAAAAATTAATGCCAATTGATACCAATTTGTGATTATAATCATTCAAGCAATTCGACAATGATTTGATAATGTAATCGTCTGGATCATTGTTGTTGATGGTATTATCATGTTGTTTAATTTCTATATTAAAGACCTCCATATGCTTTAATTCCATTAAAACATTTACTAATTTATCAATTTCAGTTAAAGCTATTCTAATTGACAATCTTTTTATGTTTTTACAATAATTCGATATTGTATCAAAAAGTTGGGTTGAATCCCCAGAACCATAAAGTGATCTTGAAAGATGTAAAGATTCTAAATTAAAATTTGCAATTTTTATAATTTGAGGTAAAATGTCTGAAACATGGCTCATGTCATAATAAAGATTTTTTATTTTAGGCAATTCTATTATACTAACGATATTCCCGTTATTAATGTTTAATTTATCAGGTAATGATATAAAATCATCTCTCAATTCAACAGAAGTTAAAAATTCCAAAGTTTGGAGATTTTCAAAATATTTTAAAACTGTAACAAAATCTTGAACCTTTGTAAATTTAGAAATTTTAATATGTTTCAAAGTTTTAGAAATTTTTAGTAAACCTTCATAGAAAAGGACTGTGATAACGTTGGATCTCCAGAACTGATTTGTTGACAAAGTGATCAATTTAGATTGTTGTTTAACTATAAAGTCTATGATGCAACCAGGTAATTCAGGATGTATGGATTGATAATCAATGTCGATATCAATATGTTTTAATTCATTTGAAAATTTGAGTAGATTCAAAAACATATTTTTGATTCCTGCACCTTGATCTTTTTGTTCTATTGAATAGCCATCGTGATATATTTTAAAAATTTCGAGTCTTTCTAAAGCAATCTCAGAGTTTCTAAATTTTGTAACATCTATAAATAGACTACTACTATTTAGATTATCCTCATATATACTTAATTTTTTTATACCTTTGGTTTTTTCAAAAAATAAATTGCCAAGAACACTTGTAAAGAATTCTTTTTTTTCATCTGTATTTAAACAATCTGTATTATAGATAATCGTTTTAAAATTCTTAGTGCTAAAACTTTTCAAATATTCAGGATAACAGAATAATGTTGGTCGTTGTTGTAGTTGTTATTCTTCTTTGTTTTCTTCGTCTTCATCTTTATTTTTATCACCCATTATCCAAGGATCTTCAATCCCTTGATCAAATAATAATTTTTTATCTTCTTTATCAAGACATTTAATACAAGTTCTAAGAAACAATGATGATTTGTCTGGATATAATAAACTGTCGAATTCGAAATAATCTAAAGGGTTACTCCATAATAAAGGTATAACCAATCTACACCAGGTCCTATTAACTAAGGCACACGAATATAAAGTAGGAATGTCATATTTTAAATAATCAAAAACATCTACAAGACATTCTTTAGTATGAAATAATGAATTGGCCATACTTTTTATTTAAAAACTTATTTTTTAAATTTAAAAGTATAAAAAAAATTTTTTTTTTTATTTTTTATTTTTTTTTGACTCATTATTATATAGATTTTATTTGACAAGTGTTATTTATCATTGAGGTAATGGGAATGGTTTCACGAATTGTTTGTTTAAAACAAAAAGTCTTGTTTCAACAAACCTCGTTTTCTTCAGCGAATTTTCATTTCAATGAAGTCTTGTTTTGATCCTCTTTCTTTATTAATTAAATATTCTTTGCTTCTATAAACTTTATATTTTTTTTTTGTCCAAGCATCTTGTCAAATTTTTATTATACAAACAGGAAATTATCGACAGTTACATTAAAATAAACAAAACTTATTAGACATTACATATGCATTTTATCTAATTCATTTAATACAGATTAAGGTATTCGCCTATGCCAAATGACCTGCCAAGCCTTTTCTGTAGACAAATCTTCTACGTAAACTGAATCTAGAGCATTATTAACTACTAATTATAAACCAGGCCAAGAATTGCTACAATTTATTCAAGTGTGTCTCCCAATATCTTTCAATACAATCATAGAACTTGGGGTTAAAAAAATGTTTTCATGCCCAACTTTTTTCTAAGAGGCTTTTTTTGTTCAACAAAAGCTGGCTGCAAAGAAGTGATTCTTCATGCACAACAATCAATTCTATTATCATCAATTAATTACCTTTTCTTTACAGACTTGTAATTAACCAACAGTTTTTCTTTCCATAATTCATCTTTCAGCAAAGACCGTTTCGTACCTCAAAGCGCTATATTTTCATAATCATCTGGAAATGCCATCAATTGAACAGCATTGTTTGGACCATAAGAGGTATGTTGCATATAATTTTTATTTTTCATTGGCTCTTCCACCACCATCACTTAAGAGCATTCCGCTTGTAACAAGAACATCTTTGGCATAAATACCATGGTTAAAGCTGCTATTAAAAACAAATACTCCAATTAGTGTTGGTCGCCAAAACTAATTTTGACATGTGGCGAAACCTTTTGACTTTCGCACAGTTGCGAAAACTCTATAATTTTGGAAACCAACACCGACTCCAATGCAATTGTGAAAAATTGCATTGAAAATAGGGATAGTCCAATATCCCTAATTATTTTTTCCAAGATGAAACAACGTTCGAACTTCATGTGGGATATTGAACCTTTGTACTTTTCTGCAATATCTTCATCATTAATAATTCGACTGGTCTTCTACATGATGTTGATCCAGTTTGGAACCAAATTTTCTAATATTTCTTTCTGTATATGGTATTGGTCATAAGGCTTCCGGTCGAAACTACCTCTCTTAGTAGCCAAAATTGCCGAAATATTTTGGACAAAATTTATCCAAAATGGGCGAAATTATTTTTACAATTACGGTACTTGGATTGAAATAGATTGATTTATATATAGCATCCTTATAATATCATTCTTTTCGAAAATAGTCTGGACCAGAGACCTTAATTGGTTCATCAAGAAAAGCAATTTTTGCTGCTACTTTATTGATTATATCGGTAACGCTCATCTTTTTTGAATGATTAAGCAATTGCTCACAAAAAGAACATTTAACTTTTGTTCTACAGGAGTTTTCATTTAATACAACATCTTTGACATTCTCGATATCTTCAACATTATCACCATCTTTAATATTCTTTAGATGTTGATAGACCAAACCATTTTTCTGATTTTGAAGTAACTGCTGTAGCTTTGATGAATTGTCCATTTGGACGGACATACATATTTATCATACAAAGTTGTACTTTAAATTTCTCCAATAATATATATGGTCCTTGCATTTTCTTTTCAACGCCTGCATTTTTCTTTATTCTTGATTCTAACGGAACATTTATCAGTTTGTTTGTTTTTTCTTGTCCTCTCAAGTGCTCCATATTCTACTTTGAAAGAATAACACGAGTTCTAATTACATCTCTGACATAATCAATTGTGTATTTGCACTTAATGGTATTTGACAACATTCACGCTTTCCTAGTGTATTTTTCGATGCAAACGATCATGATATACTCATGAGATTTATGGAACAAATATTGGCGAAAACGGAAACGTGACCAGGTCAACATTTGTGTCTTGTGTTTTAAGTTCAGGGAGCAAAACTACCTTTTCTCCATTTTATAATCTCTCCATTTTGATTACACCGATTCATGATCACCACTGGGTTGACATCATTCAGCACAAGACATAATTTGGAGAAATTGGTTTGTGTATATATAAAACCCTGTTAGAATAAGGTATGGGGGCAGTCACATGTTTTACGATCCATCAAAAAACCTTAAATTAGAATTATTTATATTTATATTATTTATTATTATTATTTTCTGATGTGGTATTTATCCACTTGTGACATTTAAGTATTTTATAACAAAAAAATCATTTATACATATTTATATATATTAAAAAAAAATTTCCATTCACTAAATTTTTCTTCCATAAATCCTATAAGTTTTGGCATATGATTTATGTTTATTGTATTCTAAGGGAGCTATTTCCATAATCTCTTTCAAATCCTTTTCTGTCATACACATAAAATCAAGAATACTTGAAATTCTTGCTGAAAGTAATTCAGTTATATTTTTTAAAAACTATATTTATATAAAAATAAGATATAACATTAAATATTAAATAAAATCTAAAAAAAGATTTTTAAATAAAAACAACTCACAAGTTCCCCTATATAACCACCCCAACTTCCTAG